CCGTGAGAGCCCAGAACTGGACCCAGCACAGGGGGACAATCCCTGCCCGTGGTTGGGACAGCCCAGGTGCCATCCTGGGCACATTTGGGCTCATGTCCAGCTGCTGGCACTGGCATCCCAGGACCATTCCCAGCTTCCAGCTCCTCTGTCCCAGYCTGGAGTGTTCCATGGGGTYGGTGCCTTGTGGACCTGTTAKWTCCATTCTGTCCAGATCCCTCTGCAGAGCTTCCAGCACAATATCCCACCCAACCTGGTGTCACCCAGATCCCCTCACACAGATCATGGATGGACACATTACACAGCCCCACACTGACATGGCCACCAGCTGGACTGTCCCCACTCCGGTTTTAACCCCAAGGAGTGTCCCAAAATCTTTCCTGGACTCCACAGCCACACATCCACAGAAAAAATCCACCCTGAAAGCAATCCTGAGGGGATGACGGGGTGACCCTGCAGCTGACTGAGCCTAGCACGATGTTAAGCCGGGCTCAAATCCAGCCAGGCTCTGGGACAGGAAGGAAAGGAGGGAACGGGCAGGTGCTGTTCCAGGACGGGGTATCGGCGCCGGGATCTTCCCGGGAGGAAAACTCCACCCTGGGGCCACAAATCCTGAAGAAGGGTGGCCAGCAAAACACCAGGGAGCAGCCAATTTCACCAACAATAAGCCACAACTTTATTAACCGATAGAAATAGTACAAATTTTAAATTTTTAGTCGTATTTTATTCTTCTCTGAAACACCAAAAAAGGCTCCTCCCTCCGGCGGCTACATCGTCAGCTCCTGTGGGGAGAATGGGAGTCAGGAACCAGCAGCTTTCCCCAAGAGCCCCCCAAAACCTGCTGAACCCCCAAAAAACTCACCATTATCGCGTTTACAATGTCGTTACTGTTGTTCTTGAGGGCTCGCACGGCCTTTGCCCGTGACACGTTTGCCTGGGACATCACCAGCTCGATGTCTTTCACCTCCACACCGGTTTCATCAACCTGAAGGAGAAATTGAGCCTGGGATTGGAACCAGTTCAGGCTGGGTTTGTCTGGATTAAAGCTGAGAGGCCAAGCCTGCACTGAACAAACCCCCAGGGAAGGATCCTGCGCTCTCCACAGATGGAGGAGAGAAATCCACGGATTAAACCAAACCTCAGCCCCAAAAAGAGCCTGGGGAAGGTGTTACCTCCTCTTCCTCGCTCTCCTCCTGCACCGTGGGGGTCTGTGTGTTTTCCTGGATGTTGGAAACGGGTTCTCCTTGCACTTTGAACTTTTCGGCAGCAGCCAGCTGAGCCTGCTGGGACAGATCTTCGATCTGCAGGAGGGAAGAAAAAGGAGCAGTGAGGTCATTTCTGAGCAGGAGCCACACCCTGTATRGGTGACAAAAAGGAATCTCAGCACAATGTCCAAGCTGGGCTCACCTTGGCCTCGCCAAAGACAATGTAGGTGTCTGACGCCGGGCTCTTGTACACRTCTGGCTTTGTGATGACAAAGAGAATGTTCTTGGATTTCCGGATGGTGACTCTGGTGACTCCTGTCACCTGGCGAAGGCCCAGCTTGGACATTGCCTGAAAAAAAACATGAAGGAAAGGTCAGAGGGAGGGAAGGAAGAACCCTGGAGGCAGCCCAGATGTGCCCACTCCTCTCTTTACAACTCCAGATYCAAGGTTTGCTGCGTGGATCCACGTGGAAATGTGAATTTAGCACCACGGAGCAGCACCATGGGCTGTCAGGGAAGGGGAATGCTCTGATCCCAGCACTGGTGACACCARGGCTGCTCACCAGGCACAGCTGAAACCTCACCTTCCGAGCTTTCTTCTCGCTCCGGCTCTGTTTTGCTTTGCTGACGGGTTCTTCATCTATTTCGGCCGCTGCTGCGAGCTGCGGGGAAGGAAAAAGCAAAAACACCCGTGACAATTCTGCAGGTGACACCCACCCACCACAAGTGACATCTGCCACCTTGTCCTACCTGTGCCTGCTGTGTCGTGGCCTGTGTGGAGTCCTGCTCCTCGAGCTCTGGTACGGATTCATCGCTGTCGGACTCTGTGCCAGACCCTGCAGAGACACAAAAAAATTCTCATTTTTCCCACCTCAGGTAGGTCTGGAGGGACTGATTCCCAGTGGAGTGACCAGTCAGCCCAGTGAGGTGGTGGAGGGAGGATTCCCCGCATTCCAAATGCCATCAGGAG